GAGTGTTCTCTTTTTCCAGTTGATTACTAGATTGTACTGTGCTAGCCATTCCATTCCTAATATCACGTTATATTTTATGTTGACAATGTTCAGCGCAATGTTTTCTTTATGTCCTTGAATTTGAAGTTGAATATCCTGTAGTTCTCTTTTAACCCACCCTTAGTCTCATTTTATCAAGTTGCTATCAGCCATATCCAATTAGTAGGGTTATTCTTTGTTGTACCAGTAGGTGTTTAGCTAATATACTGTCCTCATACCCACATAGTTGATATTAGCCCCACTATTAACCATTATTTTCGCGTAGTTTCTTTAGATATATCCAGTTAGGACCAAGTGTTAGTTAGTGTTCCCACCGAGTGTACAAAGCTAAGGCTTTTTTAGAGGAGAGGTTTGCCTCAATAGCCTTCCCTTCTCTTGTTTTTTAGTAGGTAGATGTGCTAGTATTCTTAGAACATGCAATCTTTATCTCTATAGAGCCCTCCTTCCTAGAGTATCCCTCTTGCCTAGCAGTAGGAGATAGCTAGGTAAGGCACTATAGGGTTAATAGTGCAGTGATGTTTGTGTAGCTCCATAAAGTCCCTGCAATCTGTATTAGCGTACAAGAACTTCCTACTCTATATTGTCTTGTCAGGTCTTTTATCTTTCACCTTGACCTCCTTACTTGGTTACTCTAATCCAAGCTATAGCTTTTCAAAATGTTCCTTCTAGAATGCGGGTATATTTATCTTCTCAGACGCTCTATCTTCCCTATGCTTAATATGTACATACAGGTTATCCTTGTTTTCACACTGTTTGTCCTTACACATTTTCAAGTGAAATACCCTAACATCCCTCTTTAGGCTTGCTTTTAATGTGTATGTAATATACATATGCTAGGTATCAATTAAATAATCTCCTGTACACCTTTTCTTTTCCCATCAATTAGTAACAAGCCTAACTAATCCTGGTATAACATGAGTGACTATCCATGGTTTGGCTTTAGAGGCTTGGTCTTTATTTAGGGCTTCAGGGAGCTTGCTATTATATGTCCAGTCTTCCCAATCCAATTTGTCACTCAATTCTTCCTCACTTGTTGTTTTATTTTGGAAGTATAGTGATATAGTTGGTTATTGTTTAGCCATCATGTATAGGCTCATTAACCCTTATTCCTCTAGGGAGTATATTGTTTGCCCTATCACATTGTGTGTGTAAATAGTCGGATATTTAGGACATTTATAGTCAGGGCACACCCTTATCACCATGGGTTATTGTATCTCTATTCTTCCTCCCGTTAGAAAATAGGTAGGGTATTTCTCCCTATTTTGTCCTATAGTTAACCCCCACTATTTAGTAGCTATTGTGATATAGAAAGGTCCTGTATTAAGGATCACTAAGGGAGAATCCCTCTCGCTAGGTTGTTTTCCTTTAGGCACCTTCTTGCTCATTATAGAAAGATTGTGTGTAGTTTCCTTATCCTCTATATACACATTATATAGATCCTGCGCACTTTCTTCAGACTCTTCCTATTAGAGGTCTCTTACCCAGTCGGCCGGGTCTTGGTATTAATATTTATTCTTGGTTCCCCTAGGGTACCACCTTGACCCTTCCTTCTCGCTCCTATGAGCTAAGTATCAGTCATACTAACAGGTTATCTATGATTTTCTAGTGTGGCGGTCATATTTCTCCGCTAGTTAAATGGCTTTCTTCTGGAAACAGCTGAGTTTCTCAGGTATATCCGCTTCTTCTTCTGGCTTAGCCTTCTCCTCTTCTAAAGGTTGTGTGTAAGAGGCCTCTCCCTCTCTCAGGATCTTAATAAAGCTCTTGTCTTTAGAGGATACATGCGCCCATATAAACTCCTTCTTGTACTATTCCCAGTAGGCCTTAGTCCCTACTAATGGTTGTTTCAATCCCTCCTGTGCTTGTACCTCTTCTGATTCAGAGAGGTTGCCCGCTTTTTTTTTTTCAGTGCTCACACCAGTGTCAGCCTTTTTTCCTGGTGTACCAGCTGTTTGTTTGCTTATTATATACAGTCGTTAGGTCGGGGTCCCACAGTCTTTCACCTGATATCCGGATTTTCCATAACTAAAGCACAGGTTGTCTTGTCTATATTTCTCCCGTTTGTCTCTGCCCAAGATCCTCCTGTTATTGTGGCCTCTAGGTTGTGAGGATTGTCTAGCTTATATCATGGAAAGATCCATTGGGTCCCCTCAATTGTAAGTACAATTCTTTCTTCCCCTATATCTGCTGAATAGAACCTTTCTAGGATATTACTGTTCTATCCTGAGCTTGTAGAGTCAGTTGTCTACCTTAATAGCCTTATCTATCACTTCAATCAAAGTTGTGGGTAGTAGCATAGCTATTTTAGCTTTAACCTCTATCTTCAATCCCTAGTAGAACATGTCCTGTAAGGCTTCATCTTCATCCCAGTTTAGGTGTGAGGCCACTTACTAGAATATAGAATAGTAGGCAGATACAGATCCGGTTTGTCTAAGCTGATGTATCTCTCTGGCAGCAGTTCTTTCTTCATTAGCTGTACTAAAGATCACCTTCATTTCTCTCTTAAATTCCTTAAAAGAGTTAATAAGCCTCTTGGTCTTTTCTTTAGCCCCGTTCGCATTCTTATAGTGATCGCTGAGAAAGGGTTCAAACCAGGTAAAAGCTGCTCCTTTAAGATAAGCTGCGGTATAGATAACCTTCAGTCGGTTGCTGGTAAACTATCCTTAGTTAAGGTTAAAGGCCATACAGAGTTAGATCAAGTAAGCTTGGAGCTAGGAGCGCTACCTGGTGAAGGGTTCCACCCTGGCCTTGAGCTTTCTATCTCCTTCCAACTGGACCAGGGTACTAAGGCTAGAGGTAGCCTTAGTAGTACTACCTCTCTTTCCCAAGACAGATCCGGATAGGGATGGGGATCGAACGCTAGACATAATTGATACTATCCGTTACAGGGTAGTTAAAGTGTTATAAACCGCTCCGAACGTCAGGTCCAAACTGGGTTTAGCAGCTAGGGGGAATAGTATTAGGGTCAAGGCTAGGCTAAAGTAAATGTAGGAACTGATAGTAGCAGTTATACTACTAGTGTATAGAGCGAATCAATATACAAAGTTGACTACAAGAGTCCTACCTAGTGTCGGGACAGGTCGTCCCTCTATATAGTCCTGGAAAGATATGTAATGCTGGGTCCTGCTGTGTCTGCTGTGCCTGCCGGGGCCCCAGCAGACCCATCACACCCATCGGGCCCAGCGCCTGGGTCACGTGACGTACACCTTCCCTTGGGGTCGGCTAACCTTCCCCTATGTCTTCGGGCCGGGCGTCACCGGTGGCCTGCAGGTCGCGCTGTGGCCTGGGTCGTAACAGGTATATAAAGAAATAATGGTGCAACACCTTAAGGTATGTCGAGTTGTAGGACACAGGCAAGGCAGAATAAAGACGTGCCTGCATCGCCGATGAAATGCAATAAAGAGCAAGTAGTTACAATAACTTAGCATGATGAGGTGCTGGGGGTCGGGGAGCTGAATTTGGCGACGAGAGTGTAGATAAATACGGGCTAAGTCTAGAAGATGAGTTTCAAAATGAAGGTCGGTAGCGATAAAATGTATACCTTGACAGAGAGAGACAGATGCTCAGAAAGCCAGCGGCGATGAGCCCTGGGGGGAGAAGGTGTGGAAGAACGACTATTCTCGCTGTCTGAAACGTACCTTATGACGAAATATCGCAGCCGTAGGAGAAGACAGGCTGTCGGAGGTGGCTACATGTCAACTGCATTGAGATGCTATGACGAACGGAGCAAGCAGGAGGCAGCTAATCATACAGATCATGAGCTTATATACCTGATACCCGGGCTATGTATGACCTGGTAAGTGCCAGCGGCGAGCTATTGTGAGGGAACGAACGAGACTGATTTGGAGGAGAGCGAGCGTAAAGAATCGAGGAGCTGTTCATGGTGGTTAGGTAGGTAGCTGCAGATTGCGACAAGCTAGGTAGGTACCTTCCTACTAGGGATGATTAGTTGCTCAGAGACCCGAGCTGTTGAAGATGCAACTGAAATTTTCGCTGCCGACGCACGATAAGATGACGATGAGAAAACAGTGAAGGAGGAGGGGGAGTAATGCTCTAGAATTAGGTAGTGTTCATCCTAGAGAGTTTTACCTACGGGTAATAAGCACTCTTCCCAGTAGATAAGTGAGTGTCCTAGGGAGAGCAAGTAGGTACCTCGAGGGTTGACGGGTGCCTGGGGCCGGTAGGTACTAACTCTAGAGAGAGGTTAGGTTTCCAGTGTAAGCTTGGAATACCTTAACGCTGCTTGTGGCTGGTGAGTGCGTGTGCGTGCAAACAGTACGTGGTCTCGAGACACAAACGAAGTCACAAAGTCTGTTGACAAGGCTGCGAGGCCAAGGTGCTGACCTCGGGACGCGTAACGGCCATCGAAATTCGTCAGCCGCGCGCAGAGATGTCAAGACAGAACTGGTAGACAATACCTAGTATAAGGCTGAAAGATCATTGCAGAATACGTAGTACCTAGTAACGTCAGAGAAGCGAATACCACAAAGTCGTTTGGCAATATAGGGACCCCAGCTTTGTCCAGAGGATGAGTGCCCGATGCGCCCCCGCATTTTGGGACCTATGCGTCTTTGGTGAGACCACACGTGCTAATAGTAAAAGTACGAAATCGTTCTAGTCCTTGATGAAGAAGATCATACCATACCCCTGCGACAACTGTCCAAATCTCGAAAATTTACTAGGTATCCTGAGCTCACTCCGGCGCCTTGTGGCATCTACGGATTTGAAGAAAGACACATGAATCGGCATCATAAAACAGCTGGCGGACCAGGAATTGCTTGAATTAATGAGAGCACTTCCCGAACTCACAGCAGACCACAGACACCTCCCGAGTCTGCTGAGAATCGGGGCGCTGGCTCGTATAACTTTACAACACTAGGAGCGCCACGGCAACCTTCAGTATTGTTCCAGTACTTATCTACCTAAACGAGTGGACGAGCGTCAAACTCACAAAGCGCCGACCTCTACGCCTTCGCAATCTTTGGCATGGTCAAAGCAGCGAAGATAACTGGAGCCACGCTCACAATCTCGCCCAAGCCTGCAAACTGAGGAGGAATGGTGAACCTGACAGCTGCGCCGGAAGCGAGCAGAATCGCAAAGACGTTATAGACGGCAGACCAGACGAAGTTGAAGACGATGCGGCGATAAGCAGCCTTCGAGACATCGAGAAGCTGCACGACACCCTCGAGGTTGCCGAGCAGAATGACATCGGCCGTGGCGCGGGTCAGGTCCGAGGAAGACTCAATCTGCACCCCGACATTCGCTTGGGCAACCGCAATGGCATCATTCGTGCCATCACCGCAGAACAAGGTGATCTTGCCCTGATCCATCAGCGTACGCACATAGTCTTGCTTCTGTGCAGGCGTCTTTTCGGCCGCGATGCACGACAAAGGGATTTTGAGGCTGTTGGCAACCTCCTCAACCACTTTCTGCCCATCACCACTGACGATGTGAAGCGTGATCTGGCGACGCTGAAGCTCTTCAATAACACGACTTGCCTCTGGACGTAGTGTGCTCTTCAGACCATATATGCCCACAAGATCACCGTCCACAGAAGCGCAAAGCAATGTGAGCCCTTTGGCGGAGGCAGTGACGACTTCCGAAGCCTGCTTGACACCGAGCCACGTTGGGTTACCAACACGCACCGTCCGTCCCTGCCAAACGCCCTCGATCCCGGCGCCAGGAACAGATTTGAGATTCTCGACGACTACCTCCGTGGTAGACCGCTTCTCCAGTGCCAATGCAACCGCTTGGGAGACCGGATGCTGATTGTTGGTGACCATAGCTTTGACAAGAGAAACGTCGAAAGGTTTCAAAACCACTTCCTCCACAACTTCCAAATCGCCTTGAGTAAGGGTACCAGTCTTGTCGAACACAACATCAGTGACCTTATGCCCACGCTCGGTAACGTCGGAGGACTTGATGATGATACCGGCATGAGCTGCTCGACCTCCAGCAATGACCAGAACCATAGGAACAGCGAGGCCGAGTGCACAAGGACAAGAGATGGCAAGAACAGCAATGGCATGGCTGAGAGCCGTACCAGCAGCGCCACCAGGTGACTCCTGACGAACCTGACGAGCCACAACAGCCCAGATGACAACCACAAGGCAAGCAACAACCACGACGACGTAGACGAACCAGCTCGCGATCCGGTCTGCCAAGTCTTGAATCTTCGGTTTAGCGTTCTGAGCTTGCGCGACCAAATTCTCAATATCGTTGATCGTGTTCTTTCCCGGAAGTCGAGAAACCTTTGCTGTGATCGAACCAGTTCCATTCAAGGTGCCAGCAATGATAGAACTACCGACAGTCTTGAGAACAGGAAGACTCTCACCGGTCAACATGGACTCGTCAACCTCGCTCTTGCCTTCAGTGACGATAGCGTCGGTGACGACCTTCGAATGTGCCATGACCTTGATTACATCACCGACATGCAGAAGCCGAGCATCGACTTGGGAGCCGTCTCCGAGCATGGCTGTTGTTGCTTGCAGTGACTTCATCGATACCGTGTCGACGGCTCTCTTGCGAGCCCACGATGCAACGGCGCGTCCGATTAAGACAAGGGCGATAAGCAGTGAGCTGGTTTCGAAGAAAGCGTCGACCTCGAGCTCATGTCCGCTAATGTCGAATCCAAGGGCAACAACAGAATAGAGGTAAGCTGCTGTGATGCTGATGACCACCAACATATCCATCTCAACCACATGGTTGTACCACAAGGCGGACATGGCGGGTGTGTAGAACTCGGGAATGGCGATCACTTGAACGACTGTGGCCAGAGCAAATGGCACCCATCGCTTGACATCCTGGGAGACGGGAGGATTTCCCCACTCCAAGCTGATGACTGGAAGGGACAATATCAAAGCTAGGATCGCTTTGCAGCTCTTCTCGATCATTATCTTCTTTCCAGTCGCAAGTTTCGAGTCGTCTTCCAATGGAGCGAGCTCCCCTCCACTTGCACGAAGGACTTGTCTCGCACCGATCATGCAAGGATCGTAAGTCACAGCATATTTTGTTTTCCCGTTCTTCTCACAGCTCTCGACCCCATGGGGAAGATTCCCCTCGAAACTGCGGGCGGTTGCCTTGTCCATGGTGACATCCAATGTTTGCGTATCTGCGGAGAAGGGCATGATCTTGTAGCGTGTTGCCTTCTCGACCTGACTGACGATAGCTTCAACCGAGATCATGCCGAGATCAACATCAAGCTCAGCGATGCCAGTCACGAAAACGACCTGTATATTTCGAGCGCTCGGGATGTTTCGCAAAGCTCTTGCGACATTGTTTGCGCAGCCGGAGCAATCCATGCCGACCACATTCAGCAGCACGTGCGCAGCTGAGCCATCCCGCTCTAGGTCTCTCTCCGTGTGACCACCCAACTCTTGACTCTTGACCATAGTGAGATCCTTGATCTTCTCATCATCTCCGCAACAGCCGGTAGCGACTGCAGGACCGTGGTCATGGCCGTGATCGTGATGGTCATGATGATCGTGGCCATGGTCGTGATGGCCGTGCTTGGCCATCTTCTTGGCTTGGGCACGGTGCTTGAGAGAACCACGAGCTTTGCTACTTGTGGCGGTCGATGTCGCTTTCCAGGATTCTGGAGGAAGCAGAGGCTTAGTTGAACCACAACATTGATCCAACTGGCCACCGAGAACACTTCGACAGATGCAACGAGCTTGTTCCAGGTAGGCGGCATATTTGTCAAACGCAGCTTGAAGATGAGAAGTGCAAGCTTCATCAGGGTGATGTCCACCTTCGTGGGCGTGAGGATGATGACGTTCAAATTGATCGGAGGTTAGGGTGCCTGCATCGGTGTTTGTCTCTGTACCACACTCCTCTCCTGTAGACTGCTTAGCGCTGAGCTCGGTGTTTGGAAGTGATCAAACCTTTCTCGAGTTCTTCCTTGCATGCAATTTGGCACTCGACTGCGGCTGCGGTTTTGATGCATTGTTCTGGAGAGACTCAGCTTTGCTGCAACCCGTAGAGAAGGACTCACCATCGCATCGTTCTCCATCTTCACAGCAGCCATCCTTTTCGTTCAGCTCACTTGCACAAGTGCTGCCATCATCGCTGACTTCGTCTCCACAGCAACCGTCGGTGCAGCCACCCTTTTCTTCCGCCGGGGGTTGCAGCTCGCGCTCATAGTTATCATCCTTGCAACAGTCGGATACGCAATTGCTTGCGCTTGGGGGCTCCACATGAGCAGTGTTGGACGCTGTGGCACAGGTCGAGTGGTTATTGTCGCAGCAGTTGCCTCCGGCGGCGCTGTTTGGGGTCATCATGGCTATGAGTTGTAGCTGTCAAGTATCAGAAGTTTGGAGAAAAGAAAAAAACATCCAGGGCGGGGTTCAGATATGATAGATAAGTGCTCCGACGTGAGATGTTGCACCTTTCCCAAATGAACGGAACGCATCCGAGGTCAGTGAGTTCACGTTTCATAAGTGATTCATACTCGGACTAGTATAATCCAGACCGGGATAGCCGAACGGCTCTCAAACTCCTGAGACGTGTACAATCAAGCTTCGGAAGAAGGCAAAAGAAGAGGAAGGTTCAAGGCAACAACAACTTGGATGCCGTAGCTGAGCGGCTTCTGGCGGGGTCTAGAGCTTTTGCCAAGACTTTCTCCGTCTCGCCTGTGACACTCGATGTCGAGAAGCCCTCTTCTCCTTGCGCGTCTATTTACTCCTGGAAATAAATTCTGCCCTCGAAAGGCTGCAAACGATCCCCTGGATTGCTCGCATTCGATAAGGCTAGCTTGCCTCTGGTTTCGACTGGTGACTCATTCTCCGAGAAGTTTAAGACAATCCAGGCTTTCCGCCCCTCCTTTCCTCGCTTCTCAAAGGTCCACGTTTGCTTATTTTCCAAGTCGTGAACATGATAACTTCCTTCCATAAAAATCTCCTTGTGTTGCTTCCGAAGTCGGAGCAACTCTTTCCAGAATGACCAAACGCTGTCCTGACTTTTCTGCTGATCAGCCACGTTGAGACCCGTCTGGTAGTTTTCGTTAACCCTCATCCAAGGCTTCCCGGTGGTGAACCCAGCATTTTCTTCACCAGACCACTGAACTGGAGTCCTGGCGTTATCCCGGCTACATTCGACAATCCCCTTCCAAACCTTTTGCATCATCTCTTTGTCGTTGGGATACTCTTTTTCCATCTTATTCCAGTAATTGATTGACGAGAGATCCTTGCAATCATCGATGCTCCACGTCTCTGGTATGTTTGTCATGCCAATCTCCTCTCCTTGGTAGAGAAACAACGTCCCTGACAATGTCGAAGTCATCATTGCCAGCAACTTCGCGGCCATCTCCCAAAACTTGGGATTGTTGGTCCCGTGCCTTGAAATACTCCGCGGTAGATCGTGATTCTCCTTAAAGACAGACGCCCAAGCCAATGGCTGGACGACGTACTCCTGAGGTTTCTTCATTGCTTTTTTAGCCTCCGGTAGCGGATAGGAACCAACTTCATGAGGAGGCTTTTCATGTATACCGCCAAGCATGGTATAGGTAAAGTCGAAAACCATGGATAGTTCACGCGGCTCCCGTCCAATGTACTTCATCGTCTCTTCAAAGGTGCATAGCGACAACTCTCCCACCATAAGTGGATCGCCGAAATCGTTCAACACCTTTTGTCTGATTTCTTGCCAGATTGGATGGATCATTGGCCCGTTAACCATGCCTTCTTGAGGGTCGCCGAAGGGTGCCGAACGTGGCGTTACCTCGCCGTCCTTCAACTCCGGATCTTTGCTGTAGATGTTGCAGGTGTCAACCCGGAAGCCGTCGACTCCCTTCTTGAACCAGAACCTTAACGCACTCTCGTGGATTTCCTTGCGTACTTCAGCAGATTCCCAATTCAAGTCAGGCTGTCGTGTGGCGAAAATGTGCAAATAATCTTCTACGGTCAGTATGACATGTCAGACCTGTGCACAGCACTCACATTGCTCTCTTTCTTCACCCCACTCCCAGGCACTCCCACCAAAAACGCTGCCCCAGTTGTTTGGAGGCTCTCTCGTGCCGTCCTTACCGATCTTTGCATCCCTCCACATGTAAAAGTCTGCGTACTTGCCCTTTCTACTCTTCTTGCTTTCCTGGAACCACCAATGCTCACTGCTCGTATGATTCACCACCAGATCCAGGACGATTCTCATTCCACGGTTGTGAACGCCGGCGATCAGTTCATCCATATCATCCATTGTTCCATAAGGTGGATAGATCTTGTTGTAGTCGGAAATATCGTAGCCCATGTCATCTTGTGGTGAATCATACATGGGCGATAGCCAGATAACATCAACGCCAAGGTCCTTCAGGTAATCCAACTTTGAAATGATACCACGCAGATCTCCCAGTCCGTCCCCATTCGAATCTTTGAATGAGGCAGGCCAAATTTGGTAAACGACAACATCCTTCCACCAGCTGGGAGGTCGAGCACTTTGTATATCGCCATTTCGGAAACGCATCTCCATGGCAAGCCGATCAGACTCGCTAATATCGACTGCGTTGGCCATCTTTAAGCTGGATATATCAACTAAGCACAAGTAAAAGACGTGCGGCTCTCCAACTCATATAGGGAGCGGTGACTTGTGTACATGCGCTAACCCCCTCACTCCGCCCAAGTGCCCCACAATTTCACTTGCTTGACGGTCAGCGGACCACAATGCCATGAGCGAGAATTTCGCCGGCCGGTTCAAGTTTGAACAATAATGCTGTAGCTTTCAATGTAGTTCATCATTCCACTTTCGCGACTAGCTGCTTGGGTCCTTGCGGTTCCTGTTGCCTGGTACAGTAATGGACCCGCAAGGGACGCTTATGGACGGCTCCGCTGTCACGTCGAACAGGCTCAGATTGCTCGTGCTGCTCACAGAGCTTGTCTATTACGCTGGATCCTTCGCTAAGCAGTGCGAGGCGCGATAGGCTGAAGAGTTCCAGTGTGCGCGGCTTCGAATAACGCTGCAGCTTTCAAAAGCGTCTCGTCATCCCAGCGTCTTGCGACCAGCTGCATACCAACGGGGAGCCTTGCATCGATCCCATTACCTTCTGGAGCAAGATAGCCGCAAGGAACGCTTATGGCGGGATGACCTGTCACATTGAACGGGCACGTGTTGCTCGTGCTACCAATTGACAGATTTAGCTTATCCATAACGCTGGACCCTTCGCCAGGCAACGGCATAGCCACCGTCGGAACGGTGGGCGTTACGAGGATATCGACATCCTGAAACGCTGCGTCATATGCTGCGCGTAGCTCGAACACCTTGCGATGAGCCTTGGCTTCGGCATAGTTGCCGAACTTACTTTTGAGGTGCGTCCCTGATATTGTAACGTTTACGACTGCCGGGTTAGTGGCGGTCAGCAAGTCATACATCTCCTGGTCCATGGGCCACCGTGGCTTGAGATGCGGCGGTGCATACGACAGATGTCCTGGCACTTGACCTTTGAAGGCAAAGTCGCTCATGCTTGCCCTCGTGGCTGCTGTCCAGATAGCTGGACCAAGACTGTGCATCGGCACCGAAATCTCACTAACCGTAGCTCCAGCGGCGGAGAAATGTTCAGTCGCTGTGCGAACGGCATCTCCTACCGAGTTACTGAGCCCAGGAGCAGTGAAGCCCTCTTTCAGAATGCCTACTCTCAGTGTTGGGGCGTTGCTCTTGACCTGTGACATGAAATCACCGACCAGCTTTGGATAATCTTTAACTTGACTTCTTAAAGGCGCCTCGGCAGTCATCCGCTGATCGAACCCATCGAAGCCGGCTATCACGTGGAGCAGGGCAGCAATATCATGAACATTGGTCGCCATAGGCCCGACATGGTCCAGCATAGGAACAAGCGAAGCTGTGCCAGTGTAGGGAACCAAGCCATGAGTTGGCTTCAATCCGTAGACACCGGCATAGCTTGCAGGCAGGCGTATCGAGCCTCCTTGATCCCCACCTATAGCCATGTCGACAACCTCACGAAAGCTAGTCTTCATCATGGATGCTGCGAGCAGGGCACCAGGACCACTGGAACTGCCGCCAACATTGTAGCCCCGGAGCCACGGGTTATGTACTGGCCCAGAAGCGGCGCTGTATGACAGCGGACATGCGGAGTAGTTCTCACAGGTGGCCGTTCCTTTGATAACTGCACCGGCTTCCAGGAGACGTCTTACAACGGTGGCGTCGATTGGCGACACGGGATATTGACCGTCTTGCGAGAGAAACTGATGAAATGTTCCCAAAGTCGTCGGTAGACCGCCCACCGAGCTTCAATGTATCAGCTCTTGTTCTTCAGCATCCTTTGGTCACTCACATGTTATCTTTCAGCGCAATGCTGCGCCCTTGTAGCAGCAACGAGGTAGGCATCTTCGCTTTGAGTTCACATCGATGACTCCAAGCATTCAGTGGATTGTCTGCTGGCTCTGGACGCCAGTAAGATCGTTTCTCGACCGTCTCGACGGGTTGCAGTTCGGGAGGAGTGTAATCGTCTTCATCTTCGATTGCCTGAATTACGGCATCGGCAGACTGAAGCAGCAGGAGGTAGTCGCGCTGTTCGGTTTCTTTGCCGATGACGAACTCCGTCGATGCCGTGGCTGTCTGGAGATCTTTTGGTGTCACACTGGACCTGTGCACCATTAGAAACGTAGTCTACACAGTTCGTTAATATCAACTCACGTGCTTCCGCTGGCCAAAGAAATGACTGACATTGTGCAACGCGTGGTCAGTCCACCGTGTCTTCTGACAATCGCCAAATCATCACTTCAGCCTTCACATAATGAATGTCTATGGGCTGTTGCGATTTCGGCTCGCGGCCACGACTGGTGGACTTCTCCACGTCAGCTATCTCGGAAGTTTACAAAGTGACTTAAACGCGTTATCGATTGCGGATGGGGTAAGATCCACTTTTGCGTCGACGAAACGCGTCAAGACCACAATGCTCCTTCCATGTACCTACAGTAAGGTGTGATAACGATTTTGGTCGTCTTCCTCCGTCCACGAGTCAGCGTCTTGCATCTCGCCTCCCAAAGCAGTGCAATAGCCCGTGGGCCGACGCGTCAATGGCGGGGTATCGCTACCCTGATATCGTTTTTCCGACAGGGTTTCGGTTCTCTGGAGATGGCCGTGAGCCTATCAAGCGAGCAGTCTTGCAGCTCTTCAAGATAGGTAAGGTTTCTATGTCATGCCCTGATTGATGATCTGGGCTAGTATGGCGCACGCTTCGCTAGGTATCTGCTGGGTTCGGTGATTGCCAAATGAGTGAGTGCCGGCGATCTACAGCTCAGTTCTTTGGATTGTAGCTTTGCAGTCTTGACCTGCAGTCAAGCCATCAACCTCGAGTGACAACACTACCGACATGGGTGAGGCGTTATCAGAAGACTATCAACTTGGCGTTGATGTGGGTGGAACGTTCACTGATGTCTGTGTTTTCACTCCTCACGGACAAACGGTTCGAGCCAAAGTTCCTACCACTCAAAAGGATCAGAGCATCGGGATCAAGAATGGCATCAACAAGGCCAAAGGTATATTGAAGCAGAAGTATGATTACGATGGCTCTTTTGATTTCATTCACCATGGCACGACGACTGCCACTAATGCCATTCTCGAAGGTAAAGGTGCTAAAACTGGCCTGGTGGTGACCCAGGGACACAAGGACATTCTGGCCATCCGACGATCACAAATCCCCGGCCATCTTGGAGCATGGCTGATGTATAACCCCCCGGATCCTGTTGTCCCGTTGCAGCGGACCATTCAGTGCAAGGAGAGGATGTCTGTCCATGGCGAGTCTGTGGAGCCGGTCGATGTCGAGCAGCTCAAGGAAGACCTGGCAGATCTTAAGCGACAAAAGCCCGAGGCGATTGCGGTCTCACTCCTTAATTCATATACAAACGGAGAACACGAGAAGCAAGTTGCCAAGGTGTTGAGAGAAGAGTTTGGACCGGATGTCGATATCGTATGCTCGAGCGACGTCCTCAAAGAAGCTGGAGAATACGAGAGGTCTGTCACAACGGCGGCCAACTCACTCGTGATGCCAATCGTCAAGAAGTATCTCGGCAACCTGGAGTCGACGTTGAAGAAAGACAGCGACACCATCCGGATCTTGAAAAGCGATGGAGGTCTGACCAGTCTTGAGGTTGCCGGCGAATTCCCTGTCAGCATTCTCATGTCAGGTCCTGCAGGAGGTGTCAAGGGTGCTGCGGACGCCATCTCACAGCATACTCCATACAAGAATCTCATCACTCTCGATATGGGTGGAACAAGTACTGATTGTGCTGTCATTCATCAGGGCAGTCCAAGACTCCGTCGAGAGACCATCATCGACGAGCTACGAGTCAGATCGCCCGCCATCGACGTCAAGACTGTGGGCGCAGGTGGTGGGTCAATCGCCACCTACATGGACCTGACCGAAACTCTGCGCGTTGGACCTGAAAGCTCTGGAGCCGAACCTGGGCCTGCCTGCTACGGCAAAGGGGGGACGCAAGCCACAGTCACTGATGCTAATCTGGTTCTGGGTCGACTACCGCAGCAGTTGCTTGGCGGAGAGTTCGAGCTGGACGTGGAAGCCGCTCGAGTCGCTGTTTCCAAAGTAGCTGACCAGATGGGCATTCCTGTTGAGCAAGCGGCCGAGGACATCATCAACATCGTGAACGAGACTATGTTTGGTGCAGTTCGAGTGGTTTCGGTTGAACAGGGGTTCGATCCGCGCGACCATGCTTTCGTTGCATTTGGTGGCGCTGGCCCGATGCATGCGAATGCCATCGGCGAACTCCTGGGCGCCTGGCCCGTCATCGTTCCTCCCAGTCCTGGCGTTCTGTGTGCTCAAGGCGATGCCACGACCAAACTGAGCCACGACACATCAGAATCCTATATCAAGCTTCTGTCCAGCACATCTATCGACGAGATTCGGCCCAAGTTCAGGGCTCTTCAAGACAACGGCGTTGAATTCATGAAAAAGTCGATGCCTGGACATAAGGGTCTGGAGCTCCAGGCTGTATTCCAGGCCGATCTTCGATACAAGGGACAAGCTCTCACTCTCACTGTCGACTTTTCTGAACGCGACATTGGCCTTGATGACCTGCAGTGGAAGAATGTTTTGCGCAAGAAATTCGACGCCCTTCACGAGCAGCAGTTCACCTACTGCCTTGCGAATTTCGAGCTTGAAATCATGCGTATCGGCGCTCTGATCACCGATGCTTCTCCAGAGATGCAGATTCCTCGTGTCCAGAAAGCTGAGGCTTCCGAGCCCTCTGCTGATGCTCTGATTCAGAAGCAGCAAATTATCGTTGAAGGCAAAAAGGTCGAGGCCACGTTTTGGAACCGTGAAAAGATCACCATGGAAGGCATTGTGATCCCAGGCCCGGCCGTCATTACCGAGATGGACGCCAATACACTCATTCTCCCTGGCTACGTGGGTAGGATCGACTCTATCGGCAACATAGTAATCAATCCAGTCGAAGAGAAGAAGCGGGAAGCGCCAAATCTTGAGGCGGGGGCTGCGAAGGCTCTTGTCAAAGATGTGCCTTTGATCCCTACACTCATCGCGTCCACATTGGCATCTATTCGAAGCGAGATGGACACATTGATGTTGCGATGTGCAATGTCGCCAGCCATTAGGGAGCAGCAGGACGAATTCAATGTCATCACCAACCCCGAAGGTAAGATGTTGGTTGGCCAATTTGGTTCCTTCATTGGCCAATTCTTGGACGCGTGGGAAGGCAAACCAATTGAAGAAGGTGATGTCTTTGTGACGAATGATGTCTACCAGATAAAGGGGGCTGTTTCTCATCTCAACGACGTGATTGTGCTTTTCCCGATCTTTTACGACCACAAATTAATTGGCTGGTCTAGCCAATTTGGCCATTTGACAGATGTCGGTGGCAAGGTATGTTGGAAGACCCTTAACACATCTGCTGCAAGCTGACGACTCTAGGTGGCGGGCTCTATGTCCATTGAAGCCAATAGTATCTTTGACGACGGCGTCCAGATTCCGTGCATCAAGCTCTACAGCAAGGGTATCATGAACGATGACCTTGTGGAGCTTCTCTGCCGCAACTCTCGTGAACCCGACTGGTATCGTAGCGACTTGACTGCCATTGTGGCTGCTACAAGGACCGCTGCTGGTCGTGTGTGTGAGTTAATTGACAGATTTGGTGTTGAACTTTACAAAGCGTCGTGTGACGAACTTTTGCATCGCAACCGCGTGGCCATGTCTAGGATCATTGACTCGACTTTTACGAGCGAAAAGGCAACTTTTACCGACTTTGTGGATGATGACGGCCACGGGGTAGGTCCGTGGGCTGTGACGTGCACAACTCATCGCACGGACGAGGGCAAGCTGAGATGGGACTGGTCAGGTATGTCTTCGTTGCGAGCATGCAACGCCTCTAACACGATGCAGGCACTTCTCCGCAGAGCGACCATAGCATCAACTACTATTTCAGCGAGGTTATGTTCAAGATGTTCTTGGGCTACTATCTGATCGCCGCTGCAGCTCCTGGGACGGTCATCAATGATGGCTTCCACGATCTAATCGAGGTTTACATTCCAGAGGGTTCACTCCTCAAACCTGTCAGGCCAGCCCCGGTCTCCTGCCGAACCCACTTTCTGGGCCGCACGCTGGACATTATCCAAGCTCTGATCGGCCAGCGCAACGACAACTACAAGACCGCCGCTGGCTTCAGCGACTCGCCGCATTTCTACTACTCCGGCTTCAAACCTGACGGGGAATGGTTTCTGTTGTACCAGATTGGATTTGGCGGCGTTCCTGCTCGCCCAGCCGGAGATGGGCCTGATTGCCACTGCTTGTGGCCCGCCATCAAATCGATTCCGACCGAAAGCATTGAGCTCAATTATCCGCTGCGCATCGAGGCGAACGAGAGCATGGCCGATAGTGGTGGGGCGGGCTTCTACCGTGGCGGAAACGCGCAGCGTACGCTATACCGCTTTTTGGCCAAGGGCGAGTTCTCTCTGCACGACGACCGATGGTTCACAAAGCCATGGGGCATCAAAGGAGGCCAGCCGGGGATGCGGTCGCGCAAAATCTTCTACGAATACTCCAAATCGGAGAAACCAACCCCTAGGCCTCTACCATCGAAGTGCGATCACGTCAAAGTTGCTCCTGGAGATCTTCTCGAGTGGATTACCTGGGGTGGAGGCGGCTTTGGTGATCCGTTGACTCGTCCAGCTGAGAAAGTTGCCCTAGAGGTCCACCAGAGGCTGGTCACTCTGGAGGGCGCAAAGGAGAACTACGGGGTTGTTGTCGACCCGGCCGACTTTTCCGTCAAGAGCGGTGAGACGGATACGCTGCGTGCGGAGATCAAGGCGAAGAGGACTGGTGATGCTCCTGCTTACGACCGTGGAGGTGATTTGGCTACGCTGCAGAAGAACTGCCTTGAGGAAACTGGCTTGGAGCCGCCAAGGCGTCCTTGGGAGTTTGAACCATATGGACCCCATACAGGTTTGAAGTATGTTCAGGAGTGGTACAAGAAGAAGAGGGAGGAGAACGGTTGGGAGGGTATCTAGAGGTTTACCATTGGGATGCACATATGGCGGCGGCGGGCATTGGAGGCCTGCCGCGGAGATTGAAAGCAGCTTCCCATTCGTAACATACTGGTCTCAGTCGGCTCGACGTGCCCTGATCATGTCGTAGAGATCTTCCTTGAGTCGGCTGCAATATCTGGTTCTCATCAAGCTGAACGTAATGGCCCCATCGCTTGAAGGTCGGCCATTCACTGACTTCAGGTCTGACGATATATGGTCGAGACGAAGACATGTCTCTGTATCCATACTCGACTGTCCAACGTTAGTGCCGGTTGCCCAACTCATGTCCTCTCCCATATGCTCGTCTGCAGCTTCGGTGGCTTGACCTATAGCGATTCGTAGCGGCAACTTAGTTCGATTCAACGTCTTGACGATGTTTCCGTGACTCCAGGTGATGTTGATAGCCATGGGTTGATCGAAGGCTGGAGTCGATGTAGACATGGCCGAAGGCGTTTCGAAAAATGTGGTCAGGCCCTGGAAAGCCTGAGATAGCGATGATTGCAACAAGAAGTTACGCGCCGATCGCTCATCGTTCCAGTTGATGAACAAGCCTAACAGGCCAGGCGTGATGGAGGCCATCCATTCGTTTACGTTGACATCCTCGGGATCTGGTCTCCATGGCCACCCAAACAGCTGTGTTTGGAACCCTGGACATCCGGCGATGTAGCGCAAGACTTGGTTGAAGGCTTGGCCAGCTTGCGATCCAGCATCGGTAATGGTTGGACAGTTGGTCGGCTCGTGGCTTCTTAGGAGAATGAATGTCGTCGTTGGCTGGGGTGCTTCTGCTTCTTTCATGTTGGAAAACGTTTGGAGACCAATAGGGTCAGCATTGTGGGCTTAGGGCCCTTTTGTATGCCCCTGTGCCGGTGGAAAGCAGCAATGCACAGGCCATCCATATGTCTCCGAATATCCACCGATACGCAGCCTCACGTTCGGAGGAATCTTGGGGGGAAGGAGGAGTGTTTTAGACTACTTCTGCCTTTCAAGGAGAGAAGAGTCTGCCAATGGTCTTGCCATGATTCAATTTTCAGTGCTGCCGGAGGTCGAGCAATATGTCAGTAGTTCTCGACGTGGTCATGGCGCTTGTACGGAATATTTTGTGCGCCGAATACCCTGGTGGCATTGGTGAGAAGTATTGAGCGTCGTTGAATGTGGCCGGAAGGGACCGCTATGCTCAAACTTGGCAGACACACTGCCCCTTGTGGCGCCCTTGCAGTCGACGAGCTGAAGATGAAGATGAAGGAACCTCCCGGTCGACCATAAGACGAGACCCACCCCAGGCTTGGCGGGCTGGAGGCGTTCCGGGCGCCACCCGTCACCCCTGTCGCTTCCAGTTGGAACCCGCAACCGCAGAGCCCTAGGCTTCAGTGACACCATCCTTCTGCCACTGCAAGGCGTCAGTCAGGCTTTTCACGTACAACGCTACCTACCATACACGATCTCTGGACCTTATATCTACACACTCATCTCGTCCCCCTCTTCCCTACATCTTGATCAGCGAATCAATCCCCCCACCTACGAAAACTAAGCGAGACCGCCCATCCTCAAGCCTCTACCGCCTATTCATCAGTCCTGTCAGTTGCCAAACTCCAACGGCCGCGTGGTGATTTACGGCTCAACTCGATATGCGCTTGCCTCTTGCATCTCCCGTTCTCTATCATGTCGAGCGCTGAACCTCCCGCGTCCCAACCTGCGCCCGCGCCATCAGACACTTCCTCCGATGTACCGTCCATCTTCGAACGATTGATATGCTCGAATCCTCCAATCCTCGATTCCCTGCTCGCGCAGATAACCACTGAAGATGCCCTACACCTCTACCATACAAGTCCATACCTTCGAAACTCCTTGAGAGGCCTCCCCACCGCATGGCGCTTCATATCCTGGCGTCTGTATCAGCCTGCCGCAGCATCTCCAACCCCGAACGCAGCAAACTCGGGATCCAAGCAAGCAGGAAACTATTCACTGGACCAGTTACTCATCAATGTCATTAATCCTTACAGTACGCGTCTTCAAAGCCTCGAGTTGGACAATACGGCTGTTAGTGGCGGCACACTCACACAGACTGTGTTGATCCTGCGCAGAGAAACCCTTCAGCACCTGTCTGTCAGAGGCTGTAAGAACGTATCGCTCAAATATCACATCAATCCGTGGCTTCAGCTGCATGCGTTGGCGAAGCAAGGAGCGGGGACTGGTGGCTTATATCCCTACGACAAATTGGCACTTAAAAGTCTGTACACATACCGTTGTCGGCATCACCGAAGACGACCATATTTGCCCAGCAGCCTAGCCCGTAAGGAGAGCGACAGTGAACCCACGCACGAGCTTGTCAAGACATGTCACACCCTCGGCATCTGGACCGACACGGCCTGGTGCACTACGCCGGGATCTCGCTGCTTTCGACGACGTGGCTATGTTACCATGCGCTCGCCACAAGATCCACGCGAAGTCTGGGTCGTTTACGATCGCCTCTGGCGTAGCAAGAACTGGCTTGGTCCCCCGGAATCAGCAAATCCTGCCCAATCTCAGCAAAACAACCGAAATCGCAAATCAGACGCCAGATTCTGGGTTACGAATGAAAAGGCACACAAGGGCGAGACGATCAGTGTGACAGGGGAGGGCAAGGATGTTCCGATGCATCTCCGACAATCGCATCGCAAATTCGTGGAGGATATTCAATGCAACAACTGCGGCGAGCATATCCTGGAACGCTGTGAGCAGTGCTCCATCATGATGCACTGCGCAGGGTGTAGGAAGACATTGTGTGCTTCCTGCGCTTTTGACCGTCCGTATCTCCGAAACAAGAATGCGCCAGAATCTGAACGAAACAAGTTCTGGTGGGCTCCAGGTTGCGCCGTCTCTCCTTGTTCAATGCAAGACCAGGATCTTCCGTCACCTCAGGGACCGCCCACGGCCCCGAATGCTTCGACCAACGGCTTATCCATCATCAAATTCAGGTGGTGCTGTACCGAGCCAGTCTTCTCTGGAGGAGGGGGCATAACATTCCCGAGTGGTTCAACCCGCGATGCGGAATCTCTTCGAGCTGCGCCTCTACCCAAAGGCGAAGGATGGGAGGATTCGGACTTCATCGAGCCTGACCCCCAGCCCGATGACGATGCAGCAGACACGACTGAAGGTGCCGAAGGCAAGCCGGAATTGGCCGGACGCTGGAGGTCTCTCCCTGACTTCTTTGCCCGCAATTTCCGTGGCAACGAGCAACAACCACTCCCTTTTGCTCCAGTTCCTCGAGTGCTCTGCGACGAATGCCATGCGACCGAGACCTGGCGTATCAACTGCAAAGGCTGCTCGTTACCGCTCTGCGTGAAACACGACATGCGCGATCGCCTCAAGGTGCGCATCTGCGGATTCAAAGACCTGCCGCACGAGAGTCGGGAGTACACACTGCAAAAGAAGAAATGGGAACAGCGGTGGGAGCGCATCACGGAGCAGTTGAAATTGATCGATCCCACAATCAGCCAAGCAGCGAGCAACACCGATGGCCTGAACCCTTCCTCGAGCACCGCAGTCCAGCACACACCTGGATTTCCTCTCAGCACAGAGCGGCTCATATCGCTCCTGCGACAAACTACGCCTGCACGCAGCTCGCTGGATCCGGTGACGGTGTCAACCAACACCGTCGAGCCTCCGACTGTGGCGGGCCCTTCCACCGACCGAAGCACGGTTCAGAACGCTCTTCTGCAAGACATGGATGTGCCAGGTCGGCCGCTTTCCAGGGGATCTAATTGCACTGATGCAGCTTCGCGTTCGTCATCGCCGGCGCCTTCAGCTTTCACCACTCCTGCTACTCCCGAACCCAAGTCGGCTCAGAAGAGGCCGGCAAAGAAAACGACGATGCCGGCCATGAATCCTGCATGGAAAGGCTGCTCCTCGTTCTTCTGTCCCGCCATTCGGCCTGCTGGCGACCATCGACGCAGATGTATAGCAGTGATGCGACAATGTTCCGAGTGCAAGGTCAATGTTTGCGGGGAATGCGTTGGTCACATGGGAGCACCTTGTCCATGCCGAGGGTGCCAGGTACCCACGGCCGAAGAAGGCGGCTCAGGTGGAAGTGAGTCAGCCCTGTTCTTCTGTGAGAACTGCAGATGGTCGAGGATGGCAACTGGCAAATGCAAAAAGTTCACCGAAGCTTTTCTTGCTGCTCAGACAGCCCTCGGTGGACGGTCGCGAAAGCAAAAGCGAAAAGACAGGATGCGAAAACCACTTGAGGCACGACGCGCCTCGAATAGTAGAGGGGCCGCTTCCGACGAAGCGGCCGAGTTTCTGAGCGAGTTTCGAGATATGAGGATCGGAGACGTGGCATCTACAGAAGAAGCCGGTCAGGCAATCGAAGGTGACCGTGACGAACAAGGCGAGATACAGGAGATTGAAGACGTTGGTCAGCTGGCGCGAGAACTCATCACACGCATACAAGCACTCCGAGGACAGTTTCGGCCGGGGTCATTGGCGGCACTGGCCTTGCCCGATGTTCGACTGATTGACGATGCACAGTCGATCGTACTCGCCCAGCCGACCGAGTCCGATTCATCAAGTGAGGAACCGACAGCCTAGCTACGAGAGGACAAATGAAAAAGCAACGATTTCCAAGAACATTGCGAAGGAGTTCGGAGAATACCCATTCGCTATCTCAGGGAATGCTAGCATCGCATGGAATAATGCGAGAAATATCTAAGCATGATTATCATGATTGATCAGTGCTGCATGTGAGTGGTGGTAGAGCCTTGTCTTATGTCAGAGGAATTAAATCACTAAAGCTCGTTCATGTCGAATGTGAGGGCAAGCCTAATGGATGATATTCCTCACTATACGGATCGCGGGGCCAAAACCCCCCTCGAAGACCCCACCTCTGCACTCTCCTTTCGCATGTATCGTCGCGCCTTTGAACGGCTGGCTCCAGTTTTGCAAGCGCCACATAGAATTCGAAAGGCATGGTGGGGTTAAACGTGCTTGACCCAGTTCCGGCGCACGGATGGGGGTATCCCCAAACTTACTGACATAAACGCGCTGAGTGTCCAGTAGACTGCTGTGTCAGGAGGCCTTCCTACCGCCATTTCTCCGAGTAAAACTTGACCATGTCGACCGTCACTCTCCAACATCCTGACCTGGGCGTCTTCAAGGGTAACGCCGGTGACGAGGTGGAGCAGTTCCTCGGCATCCAGTACGCAACGCTAAGGGATCGCCTATCCGAACCCGTTGTCCGGACAGAATACGGTCCTGAGATCGATGCCACAAAGCATGCGTGAGTGTAGCCAATCTGGTCCCCCCCCTCAAGTCGGACGATTAATAGGCTTTTGGGCGATAGTTCGACAAGTTACAGCGCTCCCAATGGCTTCGAGAATGAGGTCGGCCTGTTCATTCAAAACGAGATCCCGAAGCCAGAGGAGGTGAATTCCGATGTCGACTGCTTGAACTTAGGCATCACGATTCCGAAGCGTGGACCAGCTTCCGCCTCGAGATTGCCTGTCTTTGTCTGGATCCATGGCGGAGGCTTCGTGGTTGGCGCTGCCAGTTGGCCTCACTACGATCATGGTCGGCTGGTCAAGCTGGCCGCTGCCAATGGAGTGCCAGTGATTGGCGTTGGCCTCAAGTGAGTTATTTCCGCACTCTCGCAATCCGAGAACATACAGCTGACACCGGGCCAGCTACCGCTTAGGCCTGTCTGGATTTCTCACGTCTGAAGAGCTCAAGGCGGCCGGCTACAAAGGCAATAACTTTCTCCGGGACCAACGCGCCGGGCTCGAGTGGGTGAGACGCCACATCGCTGGCTTTGGCGGAGATCCAGATAATATCACCATCATCGGTGAAAGCGCCGGAGCAAGTGAGTTTGCCATTGCCAGTGTTTCAAGTGCGGGCTTTAGCTGACCTGGGACAAAAGTGGCCGTCACGTTGCATCTGTTCTCACAGCAGCCCATCTTTCAAAGGGCTATCGCAACTGGTGGCACCTGCCTGGTGCGTCCAGCTCTCCCGCCCGTCGTTCATGAAGGCAACTACAAACAGGTCTGTACCGCGCTTGGTCTGGATAGTCTCTCCAGCGAGGAGCGGATCAAAGCCCTCTTGACGCTACCAATGGACCAGATTCTGGCCAAGGTGCCCCCCAACATCCAGCCAAATGCTGTCATTGATGGAGACATCATCGCCGCCTTCCCCAGTTATGCCACCGTCATGGACCCCAACGATGCTTCCGTGCCCGCCAAATCATGGTTGAAAGCGTTGGCTGTGGGCGATTCTGCCTTCGACGTACGTCGCCCACCCGCCCTGCCCTTCTTCCCCTTGAGCCAACAACGAAACCCACAGCTGACAAAAGCACTGAACAGGCATCCGTGCTCTACTGGCTCATGAGCTTCCTCAAGCCCCTCTCTCTCAAATTTCCCGCCTCCGCCAAAGCCACGCTGGCCTCCCACCCCGCCGAAGCCGAGAAACTCCTCGCGCTCTACGACTTCAGCGACGCCGCCGACGACGAGACGGCCTTCCTCAAGCTCCTCAACTTCATCAACGACGTCTCCTTCACGCTGGGCACGCTCGCCTTCGCCAAAGGCTTTTCCTCCGGCTGCGACACCAACGTCTTCTTCTTCAACGAGCCGAATCCCTGGCCGGGCAAGTTCCAGGGCCGCGCCACGCACGTCCTGGACGTGGTGTTTTTGTTCCAGAACTACAACGAGAAGCTGCCGCCCGCGCAGAGGGAGGCGGCGCAGCAGATGGGCGTGGATTTTGCGAGGTTCGTCGCGGGCCAGCAGCCGTGGAGCAAGTTTGAGGACAGGGATGGCGGGAGAGCCGCTAAAGTCTACGGCCCCAGTGGCACTGGCAGTGGTATCGGGCAGGGCGAGGGCGCGGCAAAGTCGACGGTTGTCGAGGACGCGATCGCGAGCACGGGGACGGGTCGGAAGCCTGAGATCGTGGACATTGCCAATGCTGTGGGATGGGATTCGTTGGGCGCGGTGTTCATCGACTTCATCTTGGGCAAGCATCTCGGGTAAAAGAAGAAGCACAATCTCGTGAGGTTACAGCATGTTTGATTTTGGTCTCAGCTGTGTGCGATGCCTAGAGCAGCTTCCATTCTAGTAGTCCATATCAACCGCGGCCGCACACTCGCGCTGAATCAACTCTGCATGTGCCTGGCTGCGCGGCGTGATCTTCACGGGGAACGGCGCCCACCGATGCTCGCCCCAATTGGTCGTGAATGTGTCTATCGGTTGGCCCTGCGCAGCTGTGTCAGCTCTCCGTCTCTCGCAGAGAGAGGGGGGGGAAGCGTTTCTCTAACTCACCGGAAGTTCTTCAAAGTCAAAGCAATAGAGCAGCCTGGCAATAGCGATCCAAACATTCGTTTCGCCCACGTTATAGCCCGAGCAAACACGCCGGCCTGGGAGCGAAGCCTTTGTCAGCAAAACGCCCTTTACTTGCATTCTCGACTTCCGCCCCCCCCCCCC